ATGCAGCATTTTGTCCAAGCAATAATAAAAGGACACATTTATTTATAATTTGTCTTAAACCTCATTTTGTAAAAAATAAAAAAATCAATAAAAAAATTGTGAATCGAATCGTGAAATCAAAATCTCGAATCGAATCGTGAGTTGAGTGAATCGTTACATCCCTACAATGTAGTGGAGAAAGAGAACGACAAACTCATCAAGTACAAGAGCCTGGGAATCGACATCAGCAGATCCTGGAACACGAGAACACAGATAGTGCCAGTAGTAATAGGAGCCCTGGGATGCATTAAGAAAGGTTTCCACTGATATCTGGATCAGATCCCTGGGAAGCCAAGTGCCTTTGAAGCTCAGAAGATTGTGCTTTGTGGGACCGCACACATCCTATGCAAAGTACTTTCTTAGAGAGGAACTTCCAAGGACTCTGGTTGAGTCCCGGATGATAACGAGAGAATCTCGAGATTAAAAAATAAAAATAAAATAATAATAATAATTATTATTATTATTATTGTCTTTGATATATAATCACAATAAATGCTGGCCAAATTTTAAAATAAAAATTAGAATTTAGGACAGCCATAAATATTAGTATTGTTGTACTGTAAAATAAAATATACGTTATTATTTTTATTTTACAGCGAAATATTACAATAGTGATATTTCTTTTTGTTGAATATTTTTTATAATAATAATTGTTATATTTAAAATAGTAATGATAGTAATAAATATTATTAGGGCTGGGCGATCTGAAATCAAAACCTCGATTAATTGAATACATTACCTCGATTACTTTTATTGAATGATTTGTTTTTTTTTTGTTGTTTTTTTTGCCTTCATAGTTCATTAAAGGTTTGCACTGTAAATATACTCAACTAGTAAAGGTGGGATATTTTTTTCTAATGAAAAAGTGAATTTCTTATCTTTGTGATTTTAAAATAATTGAAGGAAATAAACTATTTATGGTTATCTGTTGAATATTTCGAACAATTGAAATCAAAGCACTGCTTGAAATGAAGATGTCTTATGAAAAAAAGGAAAATCGCCTTTAAAGTTGTCCAAATTACGTTCTTAGCAATGCATATTACTAATCAAAAATGAAGTTTTGTTATATTTACAGTAGGAAATTTACAAAATACCTTGAATAACATGATCTTTACTTAATATCCTAATGATTTTTGGCATAAAAGAAAAATTGATAATTTTGACCCATACAATGTTTTTTTGGCTATTGCTACAAATATACCCCAGCGACTTAAGACTGGTTTTGTGCTCCAGGGTCACATTTGTTTTCTGGTCGAGCAGGTGAAAATGGTGTATTTGATCAGGTGTAACATCACACGTCTCCTTAATGACACACATTTGAGGAGCTCTGTTGGATGACACAAACTGAACTAATACTTATTGCTAGAGGCTTGTTCACATCACTAACACCAAACCACGAGCAGCAGTAATAGTGACTCTTGGATTAGAAAGCCCACACATACACCAGGGAGGAGATGAATGTTAGCCCAGAGCGGCCTGCTGTTTAATCAGGTGAATTATGGCCTGTGTGCACACAAAGAAACTCTTTTAAGGGCAAACTGAAGGAGGTGTGGATCCGCCTACATCTGGCCTTTTACGATAAGACACAGAGTGCACAGAAAGCCCAGAAGTGCCTATGTTTAGACTCTATTAGGTCATCTTACACGTATGGGGCAGGTAATAGTAGTACCTGACGCATGAGGATTTCCGTATATCAAATCTACTGCGGTGGACTTTAACTTATGGACCGGATTGGACACATTAGATTCAATGTGTCTTTTGTTGTACCAATGTATAAGTGTCCACAAACGACCTCCAGAATCTAAACGCACAAATTAGCTTGACTTTCCTGAGTGACATTTACGTCTTGGTCACATTTGGCTAGTCATTGTTCTTTTTGAAATGGCAGGGTTTCTTTGTTTTGTGTT